GACCTCTATAAACTGTTGAAGAGCCAAGATGTCAGCTTGAAGACTAAGGTGAGCCTGACCCAAGCATGGTAACCTCATATGCATGTGAAAGTTGGACAATGAATAAGGAAGACAGTAGAAGAATTGGTGCATTTGAGTTATGGTGTTGGAGAAGAATATTAAAGGTACCATGGCCTGCCAGAAGAACAAACCAATCTGTTTGGGAAGAAGCACAGCCAAATTGCTCCTTAGAAGTGAAAACAGCCAGAATTCATTTCTCATACTTAGGACCTATCATCAGGATGGATGGTTCCTGGAGAAGGGCATCATGCTTGGTAAGATGAAAGGTCACAGAAAAAGAGGGCCAACGCCGAAGAGACGGATCAACTCAGGGGCAGAGGCAATGGTGCAGGATGGTGCAGGAACGGACGGTATTTCGTTCTGTTGTACACAGTGTCGCTATGAGTCCAAACTGACGTGATGACACCTAACAACAATAATAACAAATGGAGAAAATACTGAAGTTGTCAAATACTTCATTCTGTTTGTATACGCTGTCAACATTCATGGGAGCAGCAGACAAAAAAAAAATCAAACAACGTATTGCATTAGGTAACTCTGCTGCACAAGATCTCTTTGAAGTGTTGAAGAGCAAAAATGTCAGCTTGAGGACTAAGGCGCACCTGACGAAAGCCATGGTATTTTCAGTGGCTTCATATGCATGGACAGTGAATAAGGAAGACCGTAAAAAAATGGATGCATTTGTTCTGTGGTTTTAGAGATGAATATTAAAAGTACCATGAACTGCTAAAAGAACAAATGAATCTGTTGTGGAAGAAGTATAATCAGAATGCTCCTTAGAGGCCAACATGGTGAGACTTTGTCTTTCATACTTCAGACGTATTACCAGGAGGGACAGATCCCTGGAGAAAGACATCATTCTAATAAAGTGGAGGGCCAGTGAAACGAGGAAGACCCCCAACAAGATAGACTGGCACAGTGGCAACGGCACTGAGCTCAAGCTTAACATTTACAAAGATGGCCACAGGACTGGACAGTGTTTCGTTCTGTTGTGCATAGGGCCGCTGTGAGTTGGCACCAAGTCAATGGTGTCTAACAACAAAAACATGTCACTGAATGCATTCAAACACACCTGTTCTGTGCTCTTTCCCAGCCATTGCATGTGGTGCTTGCTGGCCCCTCATTTGATTCCTGCCTACCTACTATCTTAACAAAATGGATAAAACTAGTTTGAAGAAATAATTAGTAATCTATACATATTCTGTCCTCAGGTAGGAACAAAGAAATGATAAGCACACACAGACACATCACTATGGGAACCTTAAGTGTGTAAAATAATGTTGATGCGTAAAGAAAGCCTCCATCATTAATACCCAATTTTCTACTTTGGCTCTAAATATCTACATTCAAGAGCTAGTAATTGAATTTCCCAAGCAAAATTAAATGTAGATTCTTAGAAAAAATCTGCTGGAATTCTTATTCAATGTCATGGTTAATGGGTTTTGATAAGAAATACTTATATGGAATGTGTTTTTTGCCAATAGATTTCACTTAGGAAACCTGAAAACCACTCAAGAGAAGCATGGAAATTAGACTTTGTGGGGTCTGGACCTGAATTTTGTTTTGTTGTTTTTTTGGCAGCTTTACCAAAGTGCACATATATTTCTCCTTTTACATTGAAAAGAAAATTTAAATATACGGAAATGGCATTGTGCGTAAAGTATAAATGCTTCCATTATAGTCAGTAATACTGAAGATGGACAAGAAGGCTTGGCTAGTTAAGCACATTCAGCAACTCACTAATCTGAGTATGAAATGTTCAAATAAGCCATTTTCACAAGTCTTTCTAAGGCTATTCTAATCCTACGTGGTAAGGTTAACGATCTCCAAATCTGTTCAAGCTTTGTCATGATTTCTCATCTATATGACTTGTTTTCTGCTGATTTTAACATACTACCTAATGATCATAAAACAATTCAGAACCATCAGATGGTCATTTAGAAAGGACATTAAAACAAAATTAGTCATGTTGTCCATTTTCCCTGCGATTACAGAAAGACTAACCATTTGCATTCGTTAAAAAATAATACTCAAGTGACTGAACATTTCTCATTGACAATTGTTGCCAGACACTGACTCCCTCCAGGAAAGGGGGTGAAAAGCAAACAGAAAGCTTCTTCTGCTTCCGGTCTGGAACAGAACTCACCCTCGTAGCCCAATTTCCAGCCAAGCAGTAGACAGATGCATCATGGGGACAGCAACATGAGTCAGGTGTGCTCACCATGGAATGGTCAACCAGTCATGTCTAAGGGAAACAGGAGGTGAGGGCAGTCTGGCTGTGACAGCTGTCACCCCATTGATCGCCAGGGTTGACTTGGTTGATCTGGTTGGCTGGGCAGGTGTCCCCCTTCTCCCTCAATACTCCACGTGTGCCCCTCCTAAAGCTGTGTGCTTGGAAGAAAAGGATCAACTTCCTGATAGAGTAGGAACGTCTTTTGGTCAAGGGTATATGAGCAGTTGCTTTCTCCTGCTAGGACCTCCAAGGAAGTTCTCAGCGGCCACAGGAGCAACATGTTCCTAAGGACAAAGTTCCGAAGAGACAGTAGAATAGAATAAGAACTACAGGGAGGAAGTGGCATGAACGAGAATACAGGGAGGAGATTCCAGTCACTGAGACACAGTCAAGTATGGGACTCGTTGGCTGTAACACAGATGATCTGTTCTGCAAAACTTCACTCAATTCATGGTAGAGATTTTTTAAAAACATAACATCATCTGCTTAAAAATGTCTTGAAAATTGGAAACTTTTGAAAATCTGAAACATCCCATCAAAGCCACTAAATCTGTATGTATGTCTGAATTCATTCATTGAGTGCAATAATCCTTACATTAAACATTAAACATCCCATCCCATCAAAGCCACTAAATCTGTATCTATGTCTGAATTCGTCCATTGAGTGCAATAATCCTTACATTAAACTGCAAGGGATTAAAAGATAACCAAATATTTAATTACCATTTTTAATAAACTTAAGCCCCACAAATATTTTTGTTGAGATTTATAAGTGTTAAATTTTAATCACTTGAGTGTGTGTGAAGACATAGACTCTAAAGTACTTGGGAATCTTTAGACAACAATGAATCTGAGCTCATTTAGAGTACATCAAGGCAATGAACCTTTCCCTTCATTGTTGTTGTTGGGGGCTGTCAAGCTTGTTCTGACTCCTAGTGAGATCCTACATGAGGTTTCTGAGGAGTGGCTGGTGGGTTTGAACCTCCAACCTTGTGGTCAGCAGTTCAGTGCTTATCCTACAGCCCCACACTGTCCTAGACGATCAAAGTAGCAGAATCTTTATGTTGCAAGACCACCGAGCCATCTGAACGCTTTTGCCCTATGTAGATTGAGACTTAATCTGGGTGTGATTTCTTCAAATTGCATTGAAGAGTTTTCCCAGAAATAGCCACTCATCACAGGCCCATGGTCACTGGTAAGGAGAAACCTGGTTTGAAAGAAGGTAACAAACACAAGGAACAACCATGTCTGTAGCAGGCCACAGAAACATCCTCTAGGACATTAAAAGAGCGAAGCCATTAGACTAGGGGACCAGCGCAATTCCTGCTAGCTCACTGCACGCCTGAGTCCTCTCTGACTCAGCTTTTGGCATGTCACTTAATCACGCTCTAGGATTTCATTCCCCCGCCCCATTGACCTTATGTTAGATTGGAGCCATTCCTAGCTGATAAGGCACCGACAACAAGTGAAAGGTGTGCATTTCAGGACCATGGCCCATACAGTGTGCAGGTGGTTTGCGGCCTCTGTCTCTCACTGTTTTTCACACTCCTCCTCCTCCATCCGCCCCACCACCGGGCTGTCCTTAGGAAAACACTCTGAGATCTGGTTCCAAACGACGCCACAACTGAGCCCATCTCTTTGGGTATGGGACGTAGGCATGATATGTTTTTAGACCTCTAGGGGTTTTCTGAGTTCTGGTGTGGCACTGTAGGATAAACACTGGGCTGATGATCCCAAGGTAAGCAGATCAAACCCACCAGCTGCTCTCGGAAACTCTACACAGGGTGGCCATGACCCAGAACTGACTCGACAGCACACAACAACAGGAGTTTCCATGTGGTGCTGTCAGACAAACACTGGACTGGTGGATGGTTCAAACTCACAAGAAACTCTGGGAAAACCTATGTTGTTGTTGTGAATTGCCATCAAGTTGGTTCTGACCCATAGCGACCCTGTACAGGGTTTTCGAGGAGTGGCTGGTGAGCTAGAACCGCCGATCTTGCAGTTCAAACTGCCTTTGCAGTCCTGCACATTAACCCACAGTGCCACGAGGACTTCATGGGAAAGACTATTCGCTTGGTTGGTCGATAAAAGCTGGATCCGAATGGACAACATTTAACAACATCAACATCAAAGGATTCCCATTGTGTACACAAATAAAAATCTGGTTCTCCATGAGATGAAGCTTCTTCATAAACCACCCATCACCCCACTCCCAGCTTCCCACGAGTCCCACCCCATACACACACCTGCTTGCCTATCCTTATGGCTGGCCAGGTGCGCTCTCTAAAACAGGGCTCAGCCATGTGCATGTTTACTATCAGTGATGATGTCTTCATTTCCCCTGACCGTTAGTATCACAAGTATGGAAATGACAGCAATCTCCACTAGCAGTTCTCAACTGTGACCAGACCCCACAGCCACCTGCAGGAGTGAGCTGTGACCAGGTGAAGACCTGACGCTCTGCCCAGCAGCCCATTCATTCCTCTCTCCACTGCCTCGCTTCCCATGCTTCCTTCCTCAGGCCCTTCAGTTTCACATCGATTTCGGCTCTGCCTGCTTTCTAAAATAATTCACACCAAATAGATCCACCACTGTTAGGTAGTCCACTTGCAAATAATAGACGGACCACATGCCGCTGTCAGATCTCATCATGGAACACGTGCTGTATATATAGCCCGGCGTCTGATGTGTGCCGAGGACTCACCCAGATGGTTCCGTCCTGGTGGTAGGGTTTCCAGTTCCTGCTGGTGTCGCTGTAGAGCAGCCGGTACTGGGTCACCCAGTCAGAGCTGCTGTATCTCCCTTGGGTGGCAATAGCGCTCATCTGTTTACGACTGCCAAAATCCACCTGCAGCCACTGATAGTGGTCACTGTCCGAAGGGGACCAGCCCCCTGCACCTGGGAAGGCAGAGACAAAGGGGGAAACGGGAGTTGAAAGGGCAGCCTGTACAGGTGAAGGGGAGTCACTGGCCATATCTGAATTGGTCCTGATAGAGTGCTATTTCACAGAGCTGGTGTGGCCTCCTTTAGAGATGCGATTGGGACGCCAACTAATATTCTTCCAGCTGGGAAACATTGATACTTTCACCTCTTTATGGAGCAATTATGTGCTCATTTCCTCATGAGCAAATGTCTTCATAATTCCTCAATTAGATCTTATTGTATGTCAAGGTCTAATTGGCTGAGGGTCGATCAATTTACCATGAATTCTTCATCTGAAATCACCAGGTAAGAATATGGAACAAGCTGCTAACTCCTCTTCCTTCAACTGAGGGCTCACCTTTTGATAAACTATGAATGGAACTGAAAACAATAGTATACAACTCCAAAGTACACTTGGCTTTAAAAAGTTCAGAGTTCAGAGAAGTCTAGTGCGTCAGACAAATAGTGATGAAGCCATCAGCCCCTGTTCTCAGGAGAGCTCAGGAGATGGTAGATCAGAAAAGTGTTAGTTTATGCTTCCAGGAGGTTCGATCGATGTCTCTCTCGTTGTCACCATATTTCCAGAACCTACTCTCCGCACTGAGAAGTTGTGCAGACTCTTTTGGCTGAATAAAATATTAGACTGACAAACAGTAAGAATGACACTTACAAAGAATACAAATACTCTTCATTTGTAGTAATGTTTACCATGGCCACGGCGGAATAAAAAGGAGAGAAATGGCAGTGAATATGGCATACTGTTTATGGCTAGAAGCTAATATAAACACACACACACACACACACACACACACACATATATCTCCTGGTGTAGCGCTATGGGTTAATGCACCAGACTGCAAAGCTGTTTGAACTGCAAGGTTGGCGGTTCAAGCCCACCAGATGCTCCTCAGAAACCCTATGCAGGGTTGCTATGGGTCAGAATTGACTGGACGGCACTTAACAACAGCAATATATATATATATACATATATATACATATATATATATATAATTTACTTTCTTGCAGATGAGTTTAGCTATTAATGAAAGTAAAAAAAAAAACATAATCAAGGAATCATCTAATATATGAAAATATATGCATCTCTTTTAAAGAAATGTAAAAGCTGACAATAAAACAAGTTACATTATAAAGATGATGCTAATGAAAATAATTTTGTAAATCAGTCCAGAAATACCATTCATTTAACAATTTTTATATGACTTATTTACGCCCTCGGAAACCCTGTACAGGGTCGCTATGGGTCGGAACCGACTCGACAGTACTTAACAACAACAACAACAACATTTCTGCTTCCAGCTATGATAGAATGCCTCTCCCACCAGAACTGATGAGAAAACAAGGATCGTCGGTAGAACCTGTACAATGGGTAGTGGAGAACCTGATCCAGGAAAGTTGGATGTGGTAAGCCCCAGTGACTTCTGGGTTCTCTGCGGGGACTTTGCTGGCAGGTGAGAGCAAGAAACCCAGGCCTACCTCTAAGAGGTTGGGATGCACACAGCTGCATGACTTAGAGGGTGCTGGCAGAGTCTCAGGAAGCCGGGGTCTAGATAAATGCTAAGCTGTGTGTTTGCAGACCAAGGATCCATGTGACCAGGTAGACGGAGCTCTCAGACCGACAGCAATCAGAGTCTGCTCAGAGCTGGACTTGAACTTAAGACCCACTGCAAGAAAGAGGGAATCCCGGTGTGGTGCTGTGGGATACGTACTGGACTGCTAACTGCAAGGTGGGCAGTTCAAATCCACCAGCAGCTCCTCAGAAAACCTATACAGGGTCACTCTGAGTCAGAACTGGCTTGAAGGTACTTAACACCAACAAAACAGAGAGACCCAGCTGGGCAAATGCAGCCGTTTAGTGGAGACCCAGGAAGGGCGCGCAGTATCAGTAGGGATAATTAAGTCCTAAACGAAGGGCTGTTCTGGACACAGCTCAACAAAAACAACAAGCAGACCCCACATAAATGAACTCCCTGATCAGAACACACACACACACACACAGGAATGCTCCACTAAGGAAGGCCACACAAAGTTAAAATATGCCAAACCATAGCATCTGTAATTTCTGATATATTATTTATTTTTGGAAAGTTTGGGGAAACAGGAAAAACAACCAAATGAACCCCTGCCCTGTCCTACGACATCTTCACAATCATTGCTACGCCAGAGCCTGTTGGCACAGCCATTGTGTCAATTCACCTCATTGGGGGTCATGCTCTTTTTTTAGTGTGTTGACCTGACACTTTACCAAGCACGGTGTCCTTTCCAGGGACTGGTCTCTTCTTGATAACATGTCCAAAGTTAAGTGAGATGAAGGAATATTGTGGCTGAACCTATTCTAGGATGAATTTGTCCATTTTTCTAAGAGTTCATGTTAGATTCAATATTCTTCACCAACACTATAATTCAAACACACCAGTTCTTCTTTGACCGTCCATATTCATTATCCAGATTTCACATGCATCTGAGGCAATTATGCACCCAACATGACAGATGAGGGAATTAGCAGACAAGGATTTTAAAAGAGATTATAAATTAGTTCAATTATTCAAAAGAAAGCTTATATATATTGAAGAAGCAAATCTGGGAATCTTAACTGAAAAATGAAAACTATAAATAGAACAAAATGGAACGTTCGGAACTGAAAATTATACTTGATATTAAAAATTTACTGGCTTTGCTTAATAGCAGATTAAACACTGCAGAGGAAAACGTTACTGTACTTGAATGCAGGGTCATATAGACCATCCAGATTGAAGCTCAGAGCAGAGAAAGACTTTAAAAATAAGTAAAATCCCAGCAACCAACTGCCTTCACACTCATATGGACTGAAGAACAGAGCAGAACAGGTAAAGACTGGAGCAGAAAGAAACTGAAATGAAATCATGGCTGAAAAGATAAACCTGGGTATCTGAGAAGTCATTAGAACTTCTAGGAGGATATACCTAATAGCACATGATAAGGACAATAAAAATCAATTCCTTACAAAAAATGTTATAGCTCAAAATACCAACTGAAAGGGAAGGAATCTTCACATCAAGGATCAATCCTACCCCCTCTGTATTCAGGGTTGATAGGGACAGGCAACTTAGACATTGGCTACCTAAGATGGGGGGGGGGGGGGAAGGGCAGGCGGTCAATGAAGGCACAAAGTGACTGGCTTACAAGTTTTCAAGAGGGAGCTTAGTTTCAGAGTGTGGGGGGGAAGGTAGAATCCCCACTGAACAGCTTCCATCTTATCTAGCCAGGTCTGGTGAAATGAGATGGGGATAAGATTCTTATGACTTAGTAATGAGTAATTGTTATCATAATGAATTGTGATCATCGCAACTGTAAAGGTAGAGGTTGTGTAACAAAAATGGTGGAGTAGTTAATCTTACAGTGTAGAAACAGAGGACCCTAGGACCATAAAGGGAGAAGAGCACAAACGGAATGTGGGACCCTATCCAGAGAAACAGCGACACTACAGATGAAGGCCGAGATGAGGACGTGGAGAGAGACAGCATCTGAGGACTCTAGACTCATGAAAAGAGGAAGACTGAGTGCTGGCGGCCAGGAAGCAGGCTTGCAGAATGTGCCCTTTGGTTGTTTAAATGATTCTATATTCCTGAGTGGTTTAGTGTACATCCAAAACAGACAAACAAGCAAAACAGAAGAAATAGTAGCAAATACTGTTGGAAGTATTTCAACATGGAAGGGACTGTAATCATTGCAATGAAACCCAGAGTGCAAAACCCATGTTCTTCCATGTAAACTCAATTCACAATGAAAACTAAAAAAATAAAATAAAAATAATTGTTAGAGAGTAAAATCTTAAAAGTAGTTGTTGTTTATGTTGAAAGGGCACCCGAGTGGGTTCCAAATCATAGCGACCCTGTATAGGGTTTCCAAGGAGTGGCTGAAGGACTTGAACTACCAACCTTATAGCTAGCAGTCCAGTGCTTATTCCACAGTGCCACGCCAGGAGTCCTAAAACTAGCGAGAGAAGAAAAAAGATTCCTTGGCTACAAGTCAAACACTTCTCAGCAGAAACAATGTGAACCTAAAGTCACTGGAAGAATACCTCTGAAGTGATTTTAAAAACCAAGAAAACCATTGTCATCCAGTTGGCTCTAAGTCACAGTGACCCTAATAGGACAGAGTCTGACCGGACCATATGGTTTCCAAGGCTGTAAGTCTTTACTAAAGCAGATGGCCTCATCTTTCTTCTGTGGAGCAGATGGTGGGTTTGAACTAACAACCTTATGGTTAGCACCAGGGCTCCAAAGTGATTACAAAAGAGGAAAGAAAAAAACAAAAAACAACTATCAATGTAAAATTCTAAACAAAGCTAAAGTACTCTTTAAAAATTAAAGTAAAATGAAGATGTTTAAGACAAAGAAGCTAATCAAATTCATTTCAAACAGATCTTTACTATAAGAAATGTAAGTTAGTGGCACAGAAGTTTTTACCAGATTAAAAATCATACCGAATGAAGAAAGTAATGCCAGAAATGCTAAATATGTTAGTAAATGTACAGCTTTTTTTCCCTGTACTTTTGAATGCAGGATAACCAGGAGAGGGTGACAATGGATTGGAGAATGGTAAAAGACACAGGAGTAATATACATGGTTACATCAGAACACACCTATTACTTGGATGGCTACCGTAATCTGTGGATGGTTACAGCAGAATCCACAGGATAAGCACTGGACTGCAAGGTTGGTTTGAAGTGCAAGTTGGAGGTTCAAACTCTCCAGCAGCTCCTCAGAAACCCTATACAGGGTTGCCATGAGTTGGAACCAACTTAACAACACTTAACAAAAACAGTAGAACACAGGAAGGGAAGAGAAATGCAATACATTTGGTAAATTTCTTCCATTACACATGTTACTATATAACATGATGCTATGAAACCCAGTATTTAAAGGCAGTAAATGCTAGACCATCAATGTCCAAGGAAACAGCAGTCCCCAAACCAA